TGAGTTGCCGCCATGTGATTGGCTGCTTAGAAATTAAGTGTTAACGAGCAGTTGGACAGGTGTACCTAATAAAGTGGCCGGTGAGTGTAGGTAATTATAACACTGTTTAGCTTCATCTGGTTCGTGGAAACTACAGAAAACAGGCTTAAAGCGGATGGCCAAACAACCCAGGAGGATGACGGGTTGGTCTTTGCATTGCATCTGACTGGGAATGAGCTCAATGTTGCTAAGAATATCATTGCTTCAACTGACCAGATTGCTCTAGTTTGAGCTGAAAGCACTAAGCAAGAAAAATTCTGAAAAACTAAGTGAAAGTCCAGTTTCCTTCAATCTAAGCCTGTTTTGTGAATGTTCAGCTCATTGTGAACAGGTATGAAAGAGTTGTATCATCTCTCCAGTGTTTTTCCGTGTCTGCCCTGGGGCCTCCTCCCAAAGAGGGATTACTATAAAACCTCCAAAGTGAGGCACCCAGGAGAGATACTGATCAATTCCCGACCCACCTTTGCTGAATCCTTTTGATGCCGTGGAGCATTAGCCCTGAACTCCAGCTTGAAGCAAAGACTAGACCCTGATCCAGAGGGATCAGTCCACCTTTTTCATTTTAAAGATGCATGGAAGCTGACGGCTGTTAAGAAGGAAAATGTTGCACTGTGCAAGTAAGAAGGCTGTAAATTAGAATTATTATTGTGTGCAAAAAATTGAAATGGAGGAGACATTGAATGAAATTAATGAAATATTTATTTGAAAGGGGAAAAAATATAACAAGCTGAAACTTTTGAAAGCATTTATAAAACTAATTTAAATGCACAAACATTAAGAAATATACCCTTTGTTTTCGTGTCTATCAGTTCAATTTAATGGGCTTGCAAAACTCATGTAAAATAATTTTTTTTTTCTCATTCAGCTGAGTTTTCTGGACATATATTCACAGATTCATAAAAAGCAATACTCTGACCTTCTGAATAATTTGCCTAAGAATCAATTTTTTTTCTAAAAGCAAGATAAAATTGGCTATACTATACCACTCTCCGTTTTTTATTTTCATTTTATATTTTCTAATAGGAAAGAGCTGCATAAAGCTGAGGAATGACATTTGATTTTGGATTCCACATTGACTTACAGAGAATCACTCAAGATAAAAGCATTGATAGTAATGTTTGCAGGTTAAATTTGGGGTAATTATGGTGATTTGATGACACAACCTTAAGTTTACCATGTTTCCCATGTTATTCCAAACTTATTTGGTGCTAAATAATCTATAATGTATCT